GTGACGTCACGTCACGGTGGCTGAAAGCGAAGGTGGCTGAAGGGGAGCCCTTACAGTACTTCACAAACATTGTGATGTAGACTCCAATGACTGTGCTGTGCTTGAAGATGTACACTGTACATCAGTGAGCACATAAACACGAGGAATGGCACCAGATGAGACAACTGACTCGGCACGATAGGCAGACGGGCACCTTTCCATTCCCAGAAGCAGAATACAAATACAACTAGAACTCCAGACAGCAAGGGTGCCAGCACGACGGGCGACATCCAAGGGAACGTTACACCCCCCTGTCAAAAGTATCATGAGTGTATAGATAGAACCCATTACCCCAATAACATACCCAAATCACTGGTAGGAGGACAAGAGTACAGCCAATAAGTGTCAGCGCTGCGCCGATATAATCAACCGCAAGTAATTTCCTACTGACGTTAAGAGTAACGCAGCAATAAATGGGGCTGGAGCGCTTACCACCACATGTCACCCTCGACACGTTTTAACTGAAGCACAAAGACAACCACGCACATAGTGAACACCGAGATGGGGATTGTAATCCAAAAGCACCACTGCGCAAGGACAATGTTCGACCTGTGAGTATATCCGCAAAATATTGGGACCCAGGCATACCCTCCAGCTAACATTCTCCGCCAAAGCACCTAGATCACATGTTGAACACTTTGATAAGCGAATACATGCACCCGTTGTGTACCTCCAATCAAGGGACCGATGGCGTAGCCAAGTGCATTGACACCACCAATAATCCCTTGGTATTTCCCTCTATTGTTTCGGTCAGGAGACAATCGGAACCCTGTGATAGAACGCGTACCTCTCCCGCAGGCTAACAACATCTGAGATAACGATCTGAGCTATACTAACAATGCCTCCACCTCCAGCGCCCGCAATGCCGCGGAATATAATCAACTGGATTATGGACCGAGAGAATCCAGCGGCAAGACTGCCGATGATAAAGATTGACATAGCCAAGCAGAGAGCCGCCTTTCGTCCGAAGATATCGCTGAACCGACCATACAGAGGTTGAAAGCCGGTCGAGGTCAAGAGGTACGCTGAGGGTACCCAGGATACGACTGAGCCAGCATGGAACACGGAGGAGATTGTTGGCAAAGCAGTAGCAACTGTTACAGAATCAAGGACAGAGACAAGAATGCAGAGTGAGAGGCCAGAGAATACCGCGATCACTTTCTTGAATGGCAATAAGTTCGTCTGATCCGTGAGGAGTACCTCCAGTTTCCGCTCTGGCCTCCGCTCGATCGGATTGTCCAGCGCAGTAACAGAGGACCTGGCTGTCGCCATAGTCAGGAAGACAGAATTGTGCGACTATTATATAGACGACTCGTGTGCCGCATTGCAAGGCGAAGAATTCGGCCTTTCGGCATTCACGACATAACCGCAGATAACATACTGTCGGACTATTTGCGGATTTCCCAGCTTCAAGGGTCCCTGCAGCGCGTTTTTCGGTCTTAGAAGACTCTGCTCATGATGCTGTAATTGTGGAAGACAGGTTCTGAGACGTCTCTCGGTACATGCTGCCGGACGTGCTGAGGAGAGGAGCTGAACAGACGCTGTCCGATGAATGTTTATTAATAGATTTATATATTGTATCTACAGTAAGTACTATTTCCACGGCAATTTGCCATAATTCGGCAATTTTTGTCGGCCTTTGACTTTGCCTCCTACTTCCTCTACCGGGCTGGCTAGCAAAAAATGGCTTCTACGTCTGCGCATTCGCTATATGACCCTCGCAGACACGTCCGCGTTGACCCGGAACGCGTCAGAGACGTCTCCAGTACGGACTTCCCGGGTTACTGGCCCGACGAGGACCACTCCTGGAATCTCGAAAAGTTCAAAGAGGTTCGTGCTCGTCTTGGATAGCGGTGGAAAAGTACTGTCATTCAAAATGCGTTCCTTTGCAAGGGCAGAGGCTCCGAGTGACGGTTACGCGTGTTTCGAATCGCTCTATAGAATTTGATATGGTCGGGGTCGATGCGTCTATAGCAAATGCGTTCCGCAGGATATTGATAGCTGAGGTGAGTACGTGAACTGTACGCAGATATATGACGAGGCTGGAATTTTGCTAGGTTCCTACTGTCTGTATTGAAAACGTCTACGTGCACGATAACACGTCGGTCATGGTAGACGAAGTGTTCGCACACCGCCTGGGCATGATTCCGCTGAACGTCGATCCAGCACTGATGGAAATGCGAGATAGTGCGTTTATAATCTTCTGCATCACGTCGTCCTAATCTCTAGCAGGCACCGGCCAAGCAACGGACCGCAACACCCTGGTCTTTCGCGTGAACGTCACCTGCACGCGGAACAAGTCCTCACCAAAAGACGAAACTGACCCCGCTGTGTTGTACCATGATGCGGAGGTTCTTTCGTCGCACCTGAAGTGGGAGCCTGCCGGCGAACAGGAGGCCGTGTTCGAGGGCAAGCCACCTGCGCCGACAAACCCGGATATCGTCCTTATGAAACTGCGCCCTGGTCAGGAGGTGGACATCGAGATGCACGCGGTGAAGGGCGTTGGGAAGGACCATGCGAAATTCAGCCCAGTCGGTGCGTATCGATGCACTAAATATCTTGCTCAACTTCTTACTGGCACTCTCTGCAGCCACCGCTTCGTACCGCATCCTCCCCCTCATCGTTCTCAACCCCGAGAAGCCGGTCCCTCCGCACCTCGCAGCAAAGTTCCAAAAATGCTTTTCACCAGGCGTCATCGATGTCGACCCACAAACGCAAGAAGTCAGCGTGAACGAAGGGAACATGCGCAAAGAGACGATGAGCCGCGAGGTGCACCGTCACCCTGAGTTCAAGGGCTGTGTGGAGCTCAAGCGCGTGCGGGATTATTTTTTATGTGAGTCTCTCTCTATGCGGCAGGATGCCCCTTTAACGTGAGCTGTCTCAGTTAACATTGAGTCGGAGGGCGCCTACACCCCCGAGCGTCTGTTCCCCGAGTCAATCAAGGTTATGCGGGAGAAGATTGCTAATATCCGGAAAGCTGCTCAGGTACTTTCATCGGAGAGTCAGGGTACTGGAGACGTAGAGATGGGTGGTTGAGTACACGTATAGGAATGTAGCGATATCAGCCAAATCATTTTGTCGACACGTTTGTGCTCGACAAAAACGTTGTTCGAAGTCTTCATGCATGGACAGTATCGGAATTGAACCAGTCCCCTCCCGCAAGATAACATTGAATGCTAAGCAGGCGTGATAAACCAACTACACCAAGTGCCCGCAAGAGTCGCTATGGAGGAAATGTATATGTGATAATAGTTTTGAGTGCCGACAGGTGCAGAGCATAACCCTTGTTTTAGAGGCGACATCTCTTCAAGAGAAACGGTGATTTCGAAGATGGTCGTCGACTGAGCCGTGAAAGCGCTGACGCTATCGAATCGATACTTGCATGGTCCGAGGCTATGATCAAGGGAGCATTTTCCTTCCATCAGGAAACCGGGATTTCTCCGCCTGGAGACGGCATCTCCACGGCCCCATCCGGCCCGAGATGGAGACGCGCTCTCCGGATGGAGACACCTTTTCCAGATGGAGACCGCTCTTACCTCTAATGCTAAGTCTCGAGAGCGTCGAGGTAGCGGGCGTTATTGGGTGTGTTCTATCATGAATCTGTGGTGTATATACATGTTCTGAAAAGAAAATTACTGCAAGTAATTGCTTTGTTCATGTCATGTACACCAATAATGCCGAGAAAATGTACTTACAGGGTACCCCAGCCCTTGTAAGACCCGGAATTTATCTAGGACACGTTTCAATATCTATTTTATGTACATCTGGAATGTATGGACCACCTCCAGGACCCCTCCGAGCCCTACTCAGTCCGCATAGACTCGGGACAGGTCCCGCCACAGCCACGTGCTGTCTCCATCTGGCTCCATCTGGAGAGACGTGTCTCCATCTAGGCCGGGCCGGAGACGGCCATTTCCATAATAAGGGGGTACCTCTCCATCACTCCATCGCTCCAGGTGGCGCCACATGGTTCGGCTGGAGATATCCGAGGTTCCTGATGCTCACGTCCTGAGCCCTCAGGCCTCAAGCCTCAGCTTCAAAGAATGCAAAGGCGATGGCGGATCTCGGGCGCGCTGTACGGTCTCTCTGCTTCGGAGAAATGTCTGGTAATTTGTTACTTCCTTTCACCGTACTAGCCGTCAGTACTCAGTGGCAATGCTCAATTTAAACCGAGCCCGTGGAAACGTTGATCGTAAGTAACTCTATCATTTTCAAATGAGTTGTGGAATGTCTACAATACCCAGCTGCTATGGACGCTGCGATGACTCACTACGAACTTACATCTGCTTTACAGGACCCTATGTGACATCCATCTTGCAGAAAAGCGTTTTACAAAAAAGCGTTTTACAACGCTAACTCTCCGTTCGATGCATTCTCGGAAGACCGGTATTATCCGGCCCGAAGATAGTGATAAGGGTATAACGTCGAGTTCCTCCACCGTGTCCTTTGTCGCGGCCATGTCAACTTATCATATCGCGGTCGCGTCCTACTCTCACAATATATATGCTCTGCAGTTCTCGACATCCCCTCCTGAACTCAAGGTCCTGTCAACACTTGAAGTGGGCTACCATCCGTCATGGATTACACCGCATCCTTCCGACCGTAGTACTATATTCGCAGCTATCGAGGATGAGAGTGGCAGGGTGGTCGAGATCAAACATGATGAATCGGGGAAGGGAGCAATTGTGGGCACATGTACGACAAGCGGAAACTATCCCTGCACGACTTTGGTGGTAGGACAGGAATTACTTGTCGGGAATGTAAGTAAACCACCCACGAAATCCCAAGTCACCACATATAATAACAAAAAAACCAAGTACATGTCCGGGCAGGTCGTTATTATCCCTCTAGCACCCTCTTCGCCCTATATCAAGTCCACTTCTCCTTCGCAAAGCATCCAGCTTCATGGATCTGGCCCGAATACCTTGCGGCAAAACAATTCCCATACTCACGATATCTACAAGGTGCCCGATCGCGACGAGGTGCTTGTAGCCGACCTTGGAGCAGACAAGACATGGCGCCTTGTCAAGGGTCAGAGCGGCTGGGAGATCGCAGGGTCCATCGACTACAGGCCTGGTAGTGGCCCTAGGCATCTCCTCGTACACAGTCAGTGATTTCTCACCACGTTTCAGGAATGACGCCGTTAACGGATTTCCAAAGATGACTTTTTATATACTGTACTCGAGCTTCACAACGAGCTTTCGCAACACACTTTGCCACCTCTCGACTCCTCAGAAAAGCCTACGCATATTATGAGTGTGGCGACACATATTCCATCCAGCTCCACAAATCTGCTCCGCATGCTCGCAGCAGAAATCCTTCTATCCACCTCCATCCCCCCTCTTCTCTACGTCTCCAACCGTAATGACCCTACCCCCGGCGGAGACACCATCGCTATTTTCTCGCTCTCCTCTGCTGGTCCGAAGCGTATAGCAGAGGTCAAGACAGGTCTGCATCACTTGCGTGGGATGATCCTGTTCGGGCCAGACGACAAATATTTAATCGCAGGCGGAACGTTTGGCGGCGAAGGAGGTGTGGTGGTGAAGGTGTTCGAGAGGGTGGACGGAGGGAATGGGTTGCAGGAGGTGGCGGGGCTTTCCGGCTTGGGAGAGATGGAGGAAGGCCCGGAGGAGTTGCTCAAGGGACCTACAGGGTTTGTTGTGTTAAGCGATAGAAGCGGATAGGACAGAGGTAAAATGACTACAAAGTATTGCTACTGTCAGACGACACTGAATGCGCCACGGAGCCCGCAAGAATGTATCGGCCTCTGGCGCCGATGATTTCCCTCGGTTTAGCCAGCATAGCGGTGATTTTCAGGCAGGGAATTAGTAACATCTTCCGCTGGTCGCCTCCACTATAGGTGCGGAATTTCTTGCTCCACCGGCATGCGTGATTAACCAATGTATCTTAGCCACGTTCAATGCTGTGTATCAAATGGCGTCGAAATAGCCTAATCCTGTTGCACAGGGGGTTCGACGGACCATTTTCTGCATCTTGTCGGTGGAAGCATGCTCGTCGAGACCACCGACTACTGGGTTCAAGGCTCGGACTCTATTCTACCGGTCTACAGCTGTTTACAGCGTTCCCGGCTATGTAGGTATTTTTGTATCGTGTCGGCCACCGTTAATTCATATTGACATGTGGGACACACACAAATAGCGCTACGCCTGAGACTCTGATGGCACTCACGTCCGAGCGAGCGAGGTCCGTCCGCCGAGGATTGGGCGGCTGCCTGTGCTTGCGGTCTGCATGACTGCAAACGTGCTTCTTTTTCACAGCTCTACATTGCGGCATCTCTACCTAGGGGAAACCTAGGCTGGCTACCTGCTTCTGTCGTACTCATTAGGGAAGATGACGGAAAGGCCAATCAGTCCCTCGGTGTTGGCACCCTCGCAGTAGGTAGCTCCGCCTTGTTTCCTCGGATATGCTCACCGAAAACGACAGGTGCAAATTTACCCAAGTTATGGTATGAAGTCACGAGTACCCGTCCTCTTAAAGTATAAAAGAGCTTGTCCAAGCTCATCTACTCTTTGTGCTTCGCTCCTTAGCTTAACCAACCGGTTACCTGGAAGCTCGTTTCACAAAATGTTCCGCTACATCGCTCTCGCTCTTGGTGCTCTGAAGCTCGCGTCCGCCGCGACCGTCCTGACAGGCCAGTACACCTGCGATACCGCCGGGGATTACACGCTGTGCAATGACCAGTGGGGTATTGGTACGTATTCGCCCTCAGTGCACGCAACGAGCTCGCGATTGACCTTTGAAATTGCGATAGCCAACGGTGTCGGCTCGCAGACGTCGACCTTGATCAGCGCGTCTGGCAACACCATCTCTTGGTCGACCAATTACACCTGGGCCAACAACGAGAACGACGTCAAGACCTATGCCAATGTTCTGTCGAACACGGCCAAGGGCGTTCAGGTATATTTTCCTTGTTAGCTGGACCCATCAGTCTAAAGCGCTGACTGCCCGCTATATTAGATCGCGAAGATCACGTCCTTCCCCACCGCCTGGACCTGGACCTACGAGACCGAGTCCTCTGCCCTTCGTGCTGATGTCTCGTACGTTGCACTCTGCGGTAGTCGATGCCTTGTTTCAACGCCCTCGTTCCTAGGTACGACATGTGGACCGGAACTGCTGAAACCGGCACTGCGGCGAGCTCCTCGTCTTCGTATGAAATGTATGGATCATGGTCCTAAACATAATGTCGCACTAACGGCTTTTCGATAGTATGATCTGGCTCTCTGGCAAGGGCGGGTAAGTAGTCACCACGGCGGGGCTTGCAGACTTAGTTGGTCATTAACGCTAGATTTCTTCAGTATCCAGCCCGTTGGCTCCCTGAAGACCTCTGGTATCAGTCTAGCCGGCCACACCTGGAACCTGTGGAGTGGTACCACCGAGACCTGGACCACTCTCTCCTTCGTCTCGGCCAGCGGCGACATCACCAACTTCAACACCGACTTGACTCCCTTCTTCCGTGAGTCTTCATGCAGGTTCTCAATCTCTTCCAAACTTGACTGACGCCCCTCGCAGAGTACTTGGTTGACAATGAGGGTGTCTCTTCCAGCCAGTACATCCAAGCCATCCAGACCGGTACCGAGGCCTTCACTGGTACCGCTAACCTCGTCACCTCGTCGTTCAGCGTTAGTCTTGCTTGATTGCAAGCTCGGGAACGAAACATCCGCTTCCCACACTCGTTGAAAGGATTGCGTTTCCGGTCTACGGTGGTGACGGATATATGTCGTATATCGACTGCCTATGGAATATATTCAACGAGAACAATTGATTGTGTAAAGAGTCTGGCAAGAAACTTCGATTGACAGCGGGAGAGGAAATGGTGAGTAAATGTTGCTACGAGGCATCGAGTCAGGAAGTCTCCACGTAGCGAGATGCTGCGTCGCTAACCGATGAAGTTCTGCGGCACGCGTCCCAAAATGAGCGGTTCCTTTTGCAACATCTGAAAATGTATACGCAGAAAATACGAGCCCCTCCACTTCATGCCACACGCATCAGATCTCTGAACCCTTCGCAGCTATTCACAATCAGTGGCATGGCATCCATCTAGCAAGACAAATGCTTCGACTCCCTGCTCTGGACTCCCAACCAGCTTGTCGCTTCGAGCTTGAGGGTTGTCACCACGCTATGGAAGTAGTCCGGTAGATCCTCGTTGGTGAACGTGAACACCACGCCATACTCCCAGGCCTGACGACGTGGTA